ATTTAATTATTTATTTAATGCTGTATTTATTTATTTAATTTTGGCACTTTTTATCCTCCATAATTCTTCTCAGCAGAGGTTTTTTTTTTATTTGTTTTTCTACATTTCTTAAAGACTGAGTTTTTGGCGACTCTTTGAATGTTGCATTTAATTCATCAAACGTTTAATTAGTTTAATTCAACAAAATTTGCAACATTTTTAAAAATATCAAGCTGCCTTATATTACTTCACACTATTTCAGTTTAAGTTGCAAATTTCTCCACATTTTCTGTTTTTTTGTTTTGTTTTTTATAGCAGAACAATAAGAAGGATAAACCGAAGCCACATTAATACACGAATGAGAGGAAATGAACTGAGGATTAATACTTCAGCCTTGGAAAATCAGGTAATCTGACAGAACTACGCACATTTAACGAGACAAGAGAACAATAATCTGTATAGTAATCAATTCTAATAAAGAATCATTGAGTGAATCTTACAGAAACATGTAGATAATCAGCAGAGTGTTGAGAGAAACTGATTTCACGCTGCTGTTAATCACCACTTCAGAGCCTGGAAACAAAGAAAACAAATCTTTTCATGTTGATCAATTCAATAAATGAACAAATATCCTGATAAAAAGCAACATGTAGAAATCAGAAATTTGGTATTTGTTTATTTTTACCAAAAACACTTTGAGAAAATGACTAATGAATTTAATCTGACTTAGAAAATGGCCACTTATTCTACCAAAGTGTTCCTGTAATCAATGAATGTTGTGATAACAGGAGAGGAACGTTTAAAATGAGTTAACAAAGCTTGAAATATGGGTTGTTAAGATGGTTGATGGATTTTTTTTTGTAGGAAACACCTGAGTCTAAATTTGAAGGAAGATTATGGAAAAACTGTTTTAATTGCTTCTCTACTAATGTGTCTAATTACGTGAAAGCCAAACATAGAGCTGTGGTTAATCCTTTCAGATTATCAGAGGGTAGTTTCAGATTTATCAGTTCATCCGAAACAAGAAGGTTGTTCCTCAAAGCTGAGTCATGATGTCTGAGAAACTCACCTGAACGCTTTGAGCTCTGCTGGGTCAGAGGCTGCTTTTTCACTTTGCGCTGCTGCTCTGGAGAAGACGTCTTCACGCTTTGTTTCAGAGCGTCCAGATAATGAGGAATGGGCAGGTCTGCAAGGAAAAGCTTTTAGTAAATAATTATCTCTAAAGCCTGTTTTAGATGCAGCTTTTTGTTCTTTTACATTTAAAAAATATATAATTTGAATAAACAGCTGCAGTGTGTACGGAAGACGATTAGGGCCACTGAATAAAAAAAAAAAG